GAGATCCAATGAGAACGACAGTTAAAAGTGTCCTGGACCAATAGAATTGGAGAATCTAAAATGGCAAACTTGCGTGTGCCATCCAATGGTAACGCCGAGCTTTCTACTGGCAATTTGTTATTCATCTAAGCCTAACTAGCTAAAACGAGGAAACTTTTGCTCCATCTTTACATCCCTCCCTCCTCCATAGAGACGTCGCTGTCCTCAGGGATTGCTGTGCCCTTGTTTTGACTGACGTCATGCAGCATTAACCTTTGGTCTTCAACACTGTGCCGCCTGTCGCTTAAGGGTACTTCAAACTCGTCCACACCCTCAGGTGGAATCTCAACGATCCTTCCAACTTGGTCACGATCGACATCACAGGCGGTATTTCCTTGATCTTCGGAGCCAAATGCATCCGGTCTCTCTCCCAACTTTAGTCGATTAAAATGGACGGTAATTTCCGCCGCGAATGGTCGCTCGCGGTCCTGAATCACACAGGTCGTGTCAGAGATCACCTTGGTTACAGTGTACGGACCAGACCAGTCTAACACAAATTTACTCGGTATTCCTTGCGGGGCTGTATGTTCTCTGAGCCATACGATGTCACCAACAACATATGGGCACCCATGGGCAAGTTTGTCATAATGGTCCTTCTGTCGGTTTTGGGATCCACGCAAGTGTGTTCGCGCTTCCTCGGCTGCAATACGCAACTTATTATGTAGCCTGGTGACATAGGAATTTACTGGTTCTTGGTTATTCTCCAGTGGTACTTGGAGGTCTTCCGGTATCCGCATTTCCCGACCACAGGTGAGAGCGAACGGCGACTGCTGGGTCGAGGAGTGAATCGTGGAACGGTATGCGAGCATGCATGCGGGTAAGGCATCGTCCCACGTAAAGGGTGCCTGACGATCAACAAAGGCTTTTAACAATCCGATTAGCGTTCTTTTCGTTCGCTCAACTTGTCCGTTACCCTGCGGGTGGTAAGCAGTAGTGCGTGTCTTGTTGATCCGTAAGTACTTACAAAGACTGTGAAGAATTGCATTTTCAAATGAACTTCCTCGATCTGAGTGAATTTGGTCTGGGGCTCCCCATCTACATACCCAGCCATTAAAAAATGGCCTGAGCGACCGTTTCCGCCGACATATTGGGCAATGGTTCCACCTCAGCCATTTTCGTAAAGAAGTCCCCCATGACCAGAATGTAACGGTTTCCCCGGACTGATGGAGCTATGGGTCCAATGATGTCAACGCCAACGAGTTCGTTGGGGTAGCCTGTCAAGATTGGTTGAAGGGGCGCTCTGTTCAAGTGAGGTGGCGGCTTTAGTTGATTACACAAGTCGCAATACCGAATAAAATCCCACACATATCGTCTTAAGTTGGGCCAATAGTATCTCCTCCTTACAGCCCACTCGGTCTTATGGATTCCTACGTGCCCTAGCTGAGTGTGTATTCGCGTGAGGACATCATCGGTCATGGATAACGGTAGAAGGATACGCCGGGGATACTGATCACCGTCGCGGTAGAACAATACCCCATTATCTAGAAAAAGCTTATCCCACACCGTGTGCAGACAGCGCGTCTCGTAACTTAAACCCCGAAGCTCGGGTCCACTCAAAGGCCGCGATTCGCCTAGCTTTCTGTAGTAGATGGGGGCTATATGAGGATCATCGCGCTGAGCCTGAGCCCAAAGGCTGCTCTGGTCATCATGAAGTGTTATGTTGCCGATGCTAATGTCTGTGCAAGATGGGCATTCGCCGTTGGGACGATACGGTTTCCTCGAGAGGGCATCTGCGTTGTTATGCTGGCGACCTGGCCGATGGTTACAGTCGAATTCAAACCCGGCCAGTCGGTCTCGCCATCTCGCGACCTGACCCTAGGCATTTTTAAAATTGCGTAGCCATGCCAAGGAACTGTGATCGGTTCGGACGAGAAATTTGCGGTACTGCAAGAATGGCCGGCACTCTTCGATGAAGAAGGTGAGCGCAAGCATCTCCTTCCTGGTTACGCAGTATCCTCTTTCTGCCTTGGTGAGTGACCGACTTAAATACTGGATTACTCGTTCAGTGCCGTCCGCCTGCCGCTGAGACAGCACCGCACCGATCGCAGTCTCGCTGGCATCTGTGTCGAGTACGATTATACCCGCTTGGTCACTAATGTCAGGAAAAGTCAAGACAGGACTGGAACAAAGGCTATTCTTAAGGGTTTGGAAGCTGGCTTCACATTCTGGGGTCCATTTAAATCTGACTCCCTTCTGCGTGAGTTTATTCAACGGCGCGGCTATGTGGGCATAATCTTTAATGAACTTTCTGTAGTACGAAGTCAAGCCAGAGAAACTTCTGACCTCTGCTACGTTATTAGGTGTGGGCCAGTCCCTAACTTCCTTTACCTTATCTTCGTCCGTTTCGATACCCGATTCGGACACCACATGTCCTAAGAACTTTACTTTATCTCGAAAGAAGACGCATTTTGCTGGTTTGAGGATAAGGCCTGCCCGCCGCAGGCTGCTGAATACTGATTATAGGTTTTGTAGGTGGTCTTCGAAATCCTTCCCGAGCACGATGATGTCGTCTAAGTACACCAAACAAGCCTTTGGAATAAACTAGGCAAGGACTTGGTTCATGAGCCGCTGGAATGTGCTGGGCGCATTGGCTAACCCGAAAGGCATGGTTTCAAACTCGTATAGACCAGTGGGCACCGAAAAAGCTGTTTTCTCACGGTCAGATGGCCTTACTTCTACCTGCCAGTATCCGGCCTCCAGGTCTAGAGTAGTAAATACTCGATTACCTGAGAGAGCATCTAGGGTTGCGTCGATACGAGGTAATGGAAAGGAGTCTTTAGTTGTCAATTCGTTTAATTTACGGTAGTTGACACATAACCTCAAGGATCCGTCCTTCTTCATGATTAATACAACTGGAGAGGACCAGGGAGAATTAGATGGCCTGATAATCCTTCGGTCGAGCATGTCATCTATCATTGCCTTTAATTGTGTCTGGTAGAATACCGGCAATCGTCTAGGCGGAATTTTAACTGGCCGGGCCGTACCCGTATCAATTTCATGTTGAGCAACATTGGTTCGCCCGAGTGAACGGCCGTCCCAATCGAAAATGTCCTTAAACTCGTGTATCAAATTATATAAACTGGTCGAACATTCCTTATCCAAAGTAGGTGGATTAGGCTTTCTATACATTCTAGCTTGACTGTGTTAACTTCTGGTTGACGGAGAGGCATCTCGAACTTAAGTGGCACTTCAGTACCGCTGACACGGAGGGCGTTAACGTTAAAGTCGAGAGAACATTTAAATGCATGAAGGAAATCTGCGCCTTATATACAGTCCCATGCTATGTCACAGCAAACAACAAACCTATGATTAAATACAGCACAACCTAGCTCTATCCCAAGTTCTACCATGCCTACATGCTGTACGGTGGTGCCGTTAGCCGTTTTCAGGCAAACTTAGGGTTTACTGCAATATCTAACTTTCGTTTGTAACTGGCGAAATACGTGATGCCTGATGAGGGAGCAACCTGCCCCTGAATCAACTAAGCATGGAAATTTAATATTACTTATAGATGCATTTACGGTAGGGCAATAAGGCATAGAACCTATATTTGCAATCAATAAATCAGATAAAATTACTAACTTACCGTTCTCTTCTTCCTCACCTGCGGTGATCGTATGAACACCGGGCATGTATTGAGGGCGAGTCCAACGACCACGTTGGACCCTCCAGTTTCCACGCCGAGGAGTAGATCGCTGGCCATATCGAGGGGTGGACGGTGGTTGGGGGTCCCACTGCCATCTCGCTGTTTGCATCCCGATGTCATAGGTCGGTCACTGTCCCATGGCGAAGACATTGACCATCTGGCCTTGCGCAGAGGCAGTTTGGAAGCGGGGAGCCGCGGCCACTGAGAAAGAAGGTCCGGGGGATGAGGATAGCGCGGTGGAGACCACTTCTTCATCGCGGGCGATGTCGAGTGCCGCTTTGAGAGTTTTGGATGGGTCCAGCATGAACTTGCGACGAATGTCGGGGTTGGCAACACCATCGACGAAGTTATCGCGAATCCTGTCTTCCAGGGCAGCGCAAGAGTCGTCTGGATATGCGTGCTTGGCCAGGACACGCAAGTGTCGCTGGAAGTCGACCACAGACTCTGCAGAATGCTGGCGACGGTCCCTCAGTGTTTCGCGAGCAACCCATGACATGGAAGAGCGACCGAAATCTCGCCGAAGACGCTCGAAAATTGTCGCGGTAGTCAGCGAAGGAGTGATGTTGGCCGCTCTGGCAACGGCGTAGACCTCACTGTCCACTTGGCCAAGGATGGCAAGTGATCGGTTCCCTTCGCTGACGGACTCGAGGTACAACTTCATTCGGTCCTCCCAGAGGTCATAATCGTCATATATCGTCAGGTTTTCTGGCTTTGGAAGTTGGTCCCCATTTGAAGACAACTTCTCTATCGCCTTCACGAGTCGGTCCAAAATTTCGCCTGAAATGGCGCAATCCCACCGCTGCCACCAATTTGTAGCGACCGTAGCCGAGATGAGGATTAATTACGCTATGCTATGCCCCGTCTGGTCCCCAGTAAGAAAGAAAGGCGAGCTCCTAAGGGGGGAATTATTTGTAAACGACAGCAG